AAGCTCGTTGGAGAGACCTACAGGGTCCTAGAACATACACAAGCCCACCCACCTGGGAATCAGCACCAGAAGGGCCCACTTTGCTGGTGGGGAACGGGGAAAGTGATTGAAATCAGGCAGAGAGCGGAACAAGCCTCACTGATCCCTCTCGGACCCTCCCCCATATAATCATCACAACGCAGCCACGTGGGTTGCCCCGCCCAGGTGAACACCTAAGGCTCCGCCCCTCATACGTAACAGGTGTGTCAAGACCAAAAAAAATGGTCTAAATGAAAGAAGAGATCAAAACTCCAGAACGAATACAACTAAGCGATGAAGAGACAGCCGACCTATCAGATGCACAGTCCAAAACACTGGTGATCAGGATGCTCACAGAACTGGTTGAGTATGGTCACAAATTAGAAGAAAAAAATGAAGGCTATGAAAAGTGAAATAAAAAAAAATGTATAGGGAGCCAACAGTGACGGGAAGGAAACTGGGACTCAAATCAACGGTGTGGACCAGAAGGAAGAAATAAACATTGAACCAGAACGGAATGAAGAAGGAAGAATTCAAAAAAATGAGGAGAGGCTTACGAACCTCTGGAACAACTTTAAACATTCCAACATATGAATCATAGGGGTGCCAGAAGGAGAAGAGGAAGAGCAAGAAATTGAAAACTTATTTGAAAAAATAATGAAGGAGAACTTCCCCAAACTGGCAAAGGAAATAGACTTCCAGGAAGTCCAGGAAGCTCAGAGAGTCCCAAAGAAGTTGGACCCAAGGAGCAACACACCAAGGCACATCATAATTACACGACCCAAAAATGAAGAGAAGGAGTGAGTTACCTACGAAGGAGTGCCCGTAAGACTGTCAGCTGATTTCTCAAAAGAAACCTTGTGAGCGAGAAGGGGCTAGAAAGAAGTATTCAAAGTCATGAAAGGCAAGAATCTACATTCAAGATTACTCTATGCAGCAAAGCTATCATTTAGAATGGAAGGGCAGATAAAGTGCTTCCCAGATAAGGTCAAGTTAACAGAATTCATCATCTCTAAGCCCTTATTATATGAAATGTTAAAGGGACTTACCTAAGAAAAAAGAACATGATCAAAAGTTTGAACAGCAAAATGACGACAAACTCACAATGATCAACAACCAAACCTAAAAAAATGCAAAACCAAAAACAAACTAAGCGAAGAACTAGAATAGGAACAGAATCACAGAAATGGAGATCACATGGGGGGTTATCAGTGGGGAGGGAGAGGGGACAGAATGGGACAAAAGGTGCAGGGAATCAGTAGCATAAATGTAGGTACAAAACAGACAGGGAGGTTAAGAAGAGTATAGGAAGTGTAGACGCCAAAGAACTTATATGTACAAGCCATGGACACGAACTAAGTGGGGGGTGGGGGGAGGAGGGGAATAAAGGGAAAATGGGACCACTGTAATAGCGCAACCAATAAAATATTTTTTTTAAATTAAGAGGATCTTTTAGCATTCATCACTCTCACTGTAGCAGAGAAGGAAACGTCTTTGGGGGTTGCAGGGGCGGGGGGGTGTCGAGGGAGTTGTGTGCCTGGGAAATGAGGTATAAGAAAGCCACCGAGGCAAAGATTCTGTTTCTCCTTGGGATTTCATAGTAGACCGTACATATTACGTCGTGCCTCTGAAAGTCTCCCTCCCCCAGTGAATCGAGGGCCGGGCGTTCCTAGAGCTGCGATGGCGCCCCGCAGCAAAACTGGAGGTCCGTGTTTTCAGGGCTCGCATTAGGAATCCCCTCTTCAGAGCTTACTGCTTGCTGGACTGTTTCAGATTACGAGAGAAACTTGGCACACAGGTTGTTGAGCTGTGTTACTTTTTCAACATAAAATCTAATTTATTTCAGTTTGTTCTTAACCGTGAGGTGGGCCAACAAGTCTTTCCAGAGTTTTAGAAGATTTTATCATAATTGTAAATAATATGTCTGTTAAAAAGAGAAAAGGAAGAAATGAAACTATTTTCCAACTTAATGTTCGTATTTTTTTTCAAAATCCTTGTTGAGAAATTCATTTTTACAAAGAATTTAGTTGAGATGCCTGGTAGATACCTGTTTGCAAATCATTTCACCATGTGTAATGCAGTGTGTATGCAGTGGTACATGGCTGTCAGAGTTCATCTGAACGTTTTTACTATGGATTATTTATTTTTTAAGATTTTATTCACTTATTAGAGAGGAGGGAAGGGAGGGAGAAAGAGAGGGAGAGGAACACGGATGTGTGAGAGAAGCGTTGGTAAGTTGTCTTCCCTACGCGCCCCGACCAGTGACCCCTCCGTTTGCAGAGCAATGCCCGACCCACGGAGCTGCGGCAGTCAGGGCTGGGTGTCGTTCCTGCAGTTAGAACGTCATCGCCCTGAAGATGCGATACGATGTCCCCGTCACTGTGTGTGGAACGGGGCAGGACAGTACAGTGCGGAGGTCCCTTAAACCTTCGCCGTTCACCTGGCCTGACCCCTCTCTGCAGAGGAGAGCAGCCCGAGGCAGCAGAGGGGGGGGCTCCCGCTCCCTCCTACCCGCACGCAGCCCCCTTCTCGCGTCCCTGGTCAGCTTCGTGTGGCCTGGCCTTTCGTCTCCTCTCTCTCACTCCACCCTCATTTTATTTTTTTTTTTTACCGCATCTTGTCCCCATAAACATGGTCAGCTGGCGATCGGGCTGGAGAGGCTTCTTCACTGTAGGCCTTCCTAAAGCCAGCCCACAGCCACCACATGGTCGCTCTTACCTCCGCTGTCCTCCGCACCCCTGGGCCAGCGCTGTGGGAGGACAGACAGCCTTGTCCGCACCCACGTCTGGTCGCAGTGACGGCTGATACGTTGTCGACAGCCCCCAGACCGGCCCTGCAGCAGGACTGGTAAAGACCCGCCGGCGCTTCCTGTGGCCCCGGGCAGGTGTCCTGTTCCGCGGACCGACTCTGTGAAGCACCACAGGACTGTCGCTGGCTTCTAAGTCCTACTTAGGTTGTCATTTGTGCCCGCTTTGGGGGCGTTGTTAGTACAAAATACCACGTCACTGTCCTTGGCAGTACTTCGAAAAGTCTAAACCCCAAGCAGTTTAGGAAAATATTCAAGAAAACGTCCACCAATTAAGCCACTGAAAGTTTTTGAGATACTTACTGGCCTTTGCCATACAAAGAAAACTCAAAATTAGCATCTGTTGTTTCTGGGACCCTATGTGGCCCAGCGGGTAATTGGGGCTTCATTCTCTGCTGTTACTGTCATTAAACAATAGTTCGTATTTAAATGTACTTGACATACACAGTGCGGGGCAAAAGCAAATGTTCAGCTGTGACTACAGGAAACACAGAGTTTATTCTTGTATTATTATTTATTAATTACTGTATTATTTTCCACACAAACAACAATAAACTTACTTTTCCCCCACTCTATATATCTTCTTGAAAATATTTAACATACTCAAGAATAAGAAAAACGAAATATCAGAAACAACTGAAAATATAAGAAAAGGTCTGAAATTATTTGAACGCCGTTCTGTTCTTCCAGGTCAGCAAGTGTCACTCACTGTCGAGTGGCCAAACCGGGTAATTTGGGGGGAAACAGATAAATCATATTTTGACTTTTAAATGTGAAAAAAGTGGATATTTTCTTTAGATCTATAAAATATATTTTTCTCCATATCACACTTTTCTAGTAAAGGTAGTGGTATTATCTTCAGTGGGTAAGATAGCAGTGTTGCTACTATCGCTAGTGGGTAAAGATAACAGTACTGTCGCAGTGAGTAGAGCTAATGCAAGGGGAAGGACCGCGAGTGCACTGGTGAGGGTGTGCTCAGAACTACTAGATAATATGTTTTAGACACACGGTTATTTTAACATTGTGTTAAGGCTGTGCCCTGGGCAAGATCCAGGTTCTTGGACTTGTTTGTCCTCTGTGTGAGGACAACTGACTGCCCAATGCCAAAACGCAATGAACTTTCAAATATCAAAGAGGAAAATTAAGTATTTCAAGTCCTCAGCTGGTTTACAGATGTGTGGGCTTTGTAGTTCGTCTCCTGGTTCCAGTAGGGCAGTGTGACAATTTTTCCAATATGTGTGCTCTAGATAGGTTTGGGAAGCAAAATCACTTACTTTAAATACAGAGAAAGTTTTCTGGACTTAAATTGTGTCTGTTTATTTCCCTTAAAATACAAAGCCTTAAAACCGAGCTTCACATTTTCAAAGATACTTCTGAATATAAAATGTATTAAATTAAGGAACTCGGTTTCTCCGTCAGGAAAATAAATGCCTTTTGAGAACAGGTATTCATTTAGATCTGTGATTAACCTTTAATGAGATCTTCCTGTTAAATTCTGCATCTGCTTTAATCTCGGCAGGAAAAGCACAGACTCGCACCGCAGCAGATAGGGTTTCTGGGTACCCCGTGGACGTTACACGATCTCTTACAGCTGAAGGCACATGTGCAACGGATTTAAATGCCAGCTTTGGGCATTATTAGTATAAAATGCTAAGCCACTTTTTTTAGAAATGTTTTGAAAAGTTCAAACTCCAGGAGGAAACGCCAATAAATGGTAATCTTGCGATGCCATTTGTTTCGAGGGCGTGGTGGGGAGATGAGCGGCTGTGCTGCGTGTTTTTTCCGAAGAGGGAAAGGTCTCTGGTGATCCCACGTCTGGGGGTGGGGCCGTTTCTGTGCAGAGACCGACGTCCCCTACGCCGTCTCTCAGGACACTGGGAAGTGACACGGAATCCGTGTTGTCAGTCACCGCGCGGGTGACACAAGTCATTGCATCTGGGGCTCCCTTCGGATCCTGGGAGTCTTTGCGTTTATAGGGTTCCATGTAGCTATTAGTTGGTTTTAAATAATCTAATCCTAAGTATATAATAAACTGAGAATCTTGGTGACTGATCTGTAAGTGTGTACATTTTTTTTTAGGTAACATTCCATGAAAAATTGTGATTCCATGACAGATTTGTTCACTTTTGCCCTGTATTTTTTCCTGTCTCTCTCTTTCTTGAACACGTCATTACAGGTCAAACATTCGGGACAACGTAGAAATGATCAAGCTTCATAAGCAACTCGTGGAGAAAAGCAATGCCCTTTCGGTGATGGAAGGAAAATTCATTCAGCTTCAAGAGGTACTGTGTTAATTTACTTTATTATGGTGATACATACATACAAATGTCCAAAACAGTATTCATGTTGCATATTTTTAAGTATAATGGCCATAAAACTAAAAAGCAAAGATGACTATTTTTATTCCCAATTTTGTATAATTTCACTTTATATATTATCTGTTATTTATAACTTCATACTTAAAGAAATGACCAAGTGGTTGGACTTTTTACAAATATCTGTGTCATCTTAAAATGACAAACACATTTCTCATAAACCATCTCGTGTTAAGAAGGTTTATCTTTAACTCTGTGGGCACAGAGCACTCACCGTTTAGAGGCGCTTGCATGTATCTTCAGTTCTAAGCACTTATGAACTACCCAGGAAAGACTAAGGTTACGAATAGGCCAATGATCAGTCAGGTTTTGTTAAGTCTTTCTTTGATGTGGTGTTTTGCTTTGTTTTGCCACTAAAATATGTGGGTATCCGTCATGCCAACCCTTCGTGCATTCATTCTACACCTGGACCACGCAGGTCAACGGCGCTCGGAGCTCGTCACCCCATTACTGTCCGCACGGGGCCATGGCCACACGGGGCTGTGTCCACAGAGGGCTGCTGTGTCCGTACGGGGCTGTGTCCACATGGGGCCGTGGCCACACGGGGCTGCGTCTGCACAGGACTGTGGCTGCACCATCAGAGGGCTTTGTTGGTGCTGTGCAGCTAACACCGGTTCCGGAACTAACAAGCCCAAAACACTCCCCACGAGCAGCACTTGTGTTCCCCAGTTCAGTGGCCCCGTTTTCTGCAGTCTCGTTTTCCATGGTTTCGGCTATCCACGGCGAGCCACGTTCCAGAAATACCAAATGGAGAATTCCAGAAATAAACAAATCCTAAGTTTTAAATTGCATACTGTTCTGAGTAGCATGATGAAATTTTGGGCTGTCCACCTGGTCCCGCCCACCTGGGATGGGGATCATCCCTTCGTCCTGCGTATCCGCGCCTCCTGTGTCTCCTGCCTCTTAGTCACTTAGGAGCCATCTGGGTTACCAGAGAGAAGGACAGAGGCCACGTTCACATAACTTTCATTGTAGTGCACTGTTATCGTTGTTCTGCTGTGCTCCTCGTTACTGTCGATGGTATTTAACTGTGCCTGATTTATAATTTACAGCTTTCATAGGTATGTGTCTACAGGGGAAAAACGTAGTGTATCTCATGTTTGGCACTCTCTGTGGTTTCAGCATTGAAATCACCGAGGTATTGGAACGTGTCCCCCATGGTCCAGGGGAGACACTGTGCCTTCTCTGAAGTCCTGGGACAAGGAAAGCAGTACATCGATGCGAAGCATAGGGTCACCTGAATGCCCACCTCTTCTTTGAGCGAGACAGTTCATGAAAGCGAGGAGACTCACTGGGATGGGAATGACAGCATGCTGTCTCCGCACTGGAGGAAGAGGGAGATTAGGTCCACGTGTAGCTGAAAACCGCTTCTACCGTGCGGAATTAAGGGAGGAATTAAAAAGTGATTTATTCTCTTACCACGGACTTGTTTTGGTCGCCGTTGCACAGTGGTGCCAGGACTTTGCTGAAATACCAGCACTCACAAGTGTCTGCTGGGGCACAGGTTTGGGGAATGGCACTGGGTAGAGAATCGAGGGGGTCAGACCGACAGCCTCAATGAGGTGGGAAGGCCGGAGAAAGCTTCAAAGGTAGCGTTTCATAATCACACCAGGATTAACAAAACTGGACTCGAGTAGCTCAGTACGTGTTTCTGTTACGTGACTGAAGAACCGCAGTGGGACGCAGGAGATTTCATTAGCAGGCGAGGCATGCATGGCATGGTCGTGGGGTCTCTGGAAAGACTTGAACGTAATCACCTTTCTTATTTATAAAAGATGTGGGGTTTAAGTATATAAAATTGAATTGAAAATATTCGTAAACGGACACCCTAAAAATTGAGAAGACTTCACTAACTGTTTTACTGAATTGAAAATTTTAACTTAATTGAAATTAGAAGCTGGCTTCCCGAGGCTGTTGGTCTGTTGTGGTGGCGTGTGGCTTCCGCCTGTGGTCGGCACAGACCTTTGCCCCCGGGAGCAGCGTCGCCGGACACAGGTTCCGACCGCTGTAGGCGCAGCAGCAGGAGGAAGAGTCGGTTGTTAGAGCTGACTCACTCGCTGGTCACTGTCCGCAGGTGAAACTCGAGGCAGAAGTTTTAAAAAGAGCGAGAACAGCTCGCGTCACTCGACTCCGTGCCCGGCGGGCCCTGAGTTTCCTCCCCAATGATGCATGCGCCTGGGCTGGGGGGGTCTCACGGCCAAGTGCACAGACGCTGTCTGCGAGGCGAAGAGCCAGCTGTGTGACGTGAACTTCAGGGGCCAGTGTACTCATAGAATTGTATTCAGATCAGAATCCAAACATAATTTTGAGAAGATTTTTTGTCTGTTTGTTTTTAGAAGCAGAAAACCCTCAGGATCAGCCACGACGCCTTGATGGCCAGTGGAGAGGAGCTGAACAAGCAGCTGAAGGAGCAGCGCTCCAGGTGCTGCAGCCTGGAGAAGCAGCTGCACGCCCGGGCCTTCTCTGAGCAGAGGGCGGACGAGGTGAGCCTCCGCGTGCCCGGCACCCGCTGCGTTACGACGTCTCTGTCCCGGTTTTGAAAAAGTAAAGTGGAGACATTTCAAATATCATACGTACTTAAAAATCCTAAGCTACACACACGGCACATTAAGCACAGCGCAGTGTAGTTGGCACGTTATGTGGACGGCAAAGCAGTGCCCAGAACACCTGCCGGCAGCCTGCCAGCAGCCCTGGCCCGTTCGCTCAGTTCACTACAGTGCTGTCCGGGTGTGCCGCGGTGGCGGGTTCGATCCCCAGTCAGGGCACACACATGAGGCAGCCAATGAATGCATCAGTAAGTGGAACAGCAAATCAGTGTTTCTCTCTCTCTCTCGCTCTCTCAAATCAATAAACTTAAAAATTCATAAAGTTAAAAAAATTTTTTTAAAAATACTTGCAAATGTACCGAGAGCCATAGCCATTGTTTACATGAGAATTAAGGATCTTTGAGGAAAAAGAAAACGTTTTGAAACAGATGCCAAATGACGTGTGGAACTTAACTTTCTCCGTTTTTACAGTTTATTAGTCATTTGCCACGCCAAAACAAAGTTACAGGGATGTGTTTGTTTCTGAGGAAAAGGGTGTTGTATTTTGCAATAGGAGCAATTTTGTGAAATTATTTTCTTTTCTAAGAAGTCATGTGAAAGCTCATCTCCCCGTTATTGTTGCTGCTCGTGTCTCCCAGCTTCTAAAGCCTCTGTCTGTAGTCCGTGACACTGGCTCTCAGAGAGCGGGAGGCGGATGAGATGCCCCCATTCTGTTCTCATCTCGGGAGAATCTCTCACCAGGGCTCATGCCGGCACCAAGGGGAAATTCTGAGAACGGAAATGAATTTTAAGAGTACTCTGATCCATGGGGAAAGCTTGTAACTACAAAATATGCCGCTGAATAAATACAGAAGGCTACATGTTAGTCATAAAGATAATTTTTATCCCAAGTTAATTTCTGAAAATATTCTTTGGGATAAAACAAGGTATACGGTTTTATTTTTTCGTTCATATATTTAAAAGATGTGCTACTGGCTCTTTGTAAACTCCAGGTAATGTGAGAAGTTACGTCGTCAGAGTAAACAGTGACTGACAAAATTTCTGTGAGCCATAAATAAAAGTAAAGTTAATCCTTTTTCTTTTTAATGGGCCAATTGGAAATTAATGCAAAATGAATATAAAGATGAAATTCGCTGGGAAGAAGGAAAAAATATTATGTTTTCCCAGACTTAACAGCAAGCTTTTAACACAGTCTTTATTGAGTTTTGGAACAGGTTGCCGTAAAGTAGTGCACACGTTTCTACTAAATTAAAACAGATCTATTGATTTCGGGGGGTGGGGGGAGCGGGATCAGTGCTGAATTAGATGCAGACAGTGTAAGGGGACTAGTTAGCAGCTGCAGCTGACAGGGGTAAGACCGAGACTTGCTAGCCTCCTCTCGCGTGCTTTGAACCCTGTGATTTTGTGTGATAACCGCCTAATGTGTGATTTTCATTTTAGCTGCAAGATAGAATTAATGATTTAGAAAAGGAGCGGGAACTTTTAAAGGAAAACTATGATAAACTTTACCACAGGTAAATCTGATTCCGTGTGTTCTCTCATTCTCTTGTCTTGAGATCTTTTCTATCAAAGCATCGGGTGTCAGAACATCTAATATGTATTAAAGAATTAGCTACAGATGATTGCAAGAAATGTATGTTGTGACATATGTATTTATATATATTATAGAAGAAAATGCGCTTTTGGGGGCATTGGCAATACGTTTTTTAACCTGAGTGGTGATGTGTTACTGAGAAAACCCTATCACTGTCACTAGTAACAACTGTTTCCGTTTACTGAACACAGACCAAAGCTAGTAGGGACTGTACTGACCGCTCTGCACGCATTATTTAAATGCCTTACAGCAGCCTGGAGGTGTGGGCATTGTAAGTGCCCATTTCGCAGACAGTGAAAATGAAACAGAATGAAGTAGCTTGCCCACCTCCTTGAAGCTGTGGCGTAGCAGAGCTTGCGTGTGGACCTGTCTGGGTCCCCCCAAGCCCTCGTTCTCCCCACCGGGCTGCCCAGCCCGTACGCTGAGGGGCGCTCTCTGATGGAGGCGAGGGCGTTCCCCTCTTAGTGTCTCTGCTCCCTCTACAGAGAAACTCGAGCATCTTTATCTCATGCCACATTTTAAGGAGCTGTTTCAGTGTTATTGTTTATCTGCTGTATAATTAAGGTGTTTAAAAACTTAATCCCTTCTACTGTTAGAAAGAGACTTCCGCTCCACAGCTAAGTGTAGTTAGTGATGCAGCTGTCTGTGTATGTGTGTGTGTGTGGGTTTCGTACATGACGCTGATAAACGATAAATACACGTTTACATGAAAGCACACTTTCTGAATACTGAAGGACATCTGTTGGAGCAGATGCAACAGTTGCTTCCATGGATCCATCAGAAAGTAGTCAGCTACAGAGATATCTTTAACTTTTTATCTGTACATTTCATGTTTTGTAAACTAAATTTATATTTTTAAATTAAACAAGCCATACCTAAAGAGTGTAGTGATAGGTCGTTATTCATTTTTGCTTTGAAAATAAATTAATGTTAGGCATCATTCCAGTGGTATGCATTATCCATGTCGTTGACCCACGAAAGCTGATGATCCTTGCACAGTGGCTCATTGTACTGAGGGTTGTTACAAACGGCAGGTTCGGGCCACAGCTCAGAGAGTATCTGGGGCTCTCCAGCAAGGAGCTGCCGGCCAGCAGCCTCTCTGTGGGGTCTGACTGCAGCCCCCTTGTGCGCCTTTGGCCTCGGGGCTGTGTGCTGGCCCCTCTCATCGGCCTGGTTAATTTTACCTGAAGCACTTCTTACACCTCTTGTTTTATATTTCCATCTCTGTAAAACAGCACGGAGGTTTATGTTGATATGTCCTAAGTATTTAGTATTGTAGTTGTGTACTTGAAAAATCCAAGTTCCATCACACTGATTGCACAACCACCATGTCATATGGTGGGGCGAATGTTCCCCTCCCGTTTCATGAACGAGGGAACTGAGACTCAGCAACACCAGGGCTCGTTCGGTCTTACCGCATTGCTGAGACTCTGGCACACGACTTCCACCTGATTCTTCTGATTCTAAAACTTGGTTTTTCCCCGCTGTGCTTCACTATTTCCCTGACTGTTCTTGGCCTGGGAACTTGTGCATTCAAAAGGGAAACATTCGTGGAATAACAGAACTGTCATACGTTCAGAAATTTTTCTTGATTTTTATCTTCAACATCTTGTAATTTCAAGTAATTTAACATAGTCTTACTGCAAGAAAATAAGTGCCATTTGGCCATTACTTGTACATTTTCTGCTTCCCCCCAATTAGGGGATTTACTGAACGTACTCTTTTGGAACACAACGCTTAGCTGGGGATAATGCATACATGGAATTTTTAGAACGACATGTTTTTCTCATATTTACTTTATCACCACGAAACTTTATCTACCCATATTAGATGGTGATCTAAGAGTATAAATATAACTTTGAGTGTTTTTTTCTTCTATGCTTTATGCTCAAGCTACGTCTTTTCTGCTATACTCAGCAGACTTCATTATGCTGCTTACACGTGACTCTGTGTCAGGCAGCCGGAAGCAAATGTGTGTAATGAGTGTCATAACGTTTTGTGTTGCAAAAAATCACGTCACGCACGAAACCCCGCACGCACACGTAGGAGTAAACAGAGCTATAAAATTCTCTGACGCGTTTTTTTTAAATATACGTTTTCAGAAGTTGGAGAATCTACAAAACCCAACAAAAACTCAACAGACTGCAAATACCATTCCTAAGATTCCTCACGGCAGTCGTGCTGCGTGTCCCTGGCGCTCACCATCGCCAACAGCTAGTGCTCTCACAAGCTGCACGCGCTCTGCTGGGTTAGTCGCAGGGATAGCATGTTTTTAAGAGGAGAGCATTTGTTTGTTATCCAAAACTGGCCGGCTTTCAGGAGAGAAATGTGATTTGCAGATTGCGTTCTCATCTTCCTTTCTCAGATGAAATTTTGAATGTGTTTATTACTTGACATGTGACATACTAGAAATCATCTGGTAAGATAAAACCCTCATGCTAGTATCTGGTATGAGCCTTTTCTAATACGCTAAACATTCTTGATACAATGCCAAGAAATAAGCGCAGCCTTAAGAAAAGCCAATTTAAAAATTCAGAATAAATTTTTTGCAATTAAATCGTTGTATTTGGTTAGAGAGAAACCCCATAGGATAAAGCAGTAAAAGCTGTGTCCCATTTTTGAAGTCAGTGTAGTGGCTAGGGTGATGTCGTTAGTGAATGCAGTTGTCCTTCCACTGTCGTGTGTGTGAGTAACCTGGAAAGCAGAGAATGTGGGTCTCCCTGCCCCTCTGAAACCGCTCCAACGCCTGCCTTCCAGCTCGGATCCAGGCAGTTTGGGGGCGGAGCCACAGAATCCCCTGAAGGTGATTTTAAGATATCAACTCCCCAGAGACACTGCTCTAATGCCTGTTGTGAAAAGAAGAGTTAGTGTAGTTTTTGAAGATGGTATTAACCATTTTAAGACTTAGGTGCATGAAGTTTTTACAGCATGAGAGTCATCTAACACCCACAATTTTCAGGAACAGTGCTCACCACCCACAGACTCTCTGTGTCCCACCGCTGTCACCTGAGCACCTGCCTGTGCCAGGGACCACGGAAGCTCACGTGACCGGTGCGTCCCAGACAGGAAACGAGGACGTTTGGGCCATCGTTTCTCCTCCAGCAAGGGAAGCAGCCTGGTGTAGACACGCATTTCTTTTCCATCAGGGCCTAACCAAAGTCCCCGTGGCCTTCTCCAGGGGTGATTCAGAGCTCACACTGCCCCGTCTCATCAGGGTGCCCTTGAACACGGAGGAAGTGGGGTTCCTCCCCTGAGGAAGGACTCCCGAGGGTAGGGATGGATTCCCCAGCTGCTGGTCAGGGGTGTGTGTCTGTAAGACGCTGGCCCGTGGCCGCAGTGGACGTGCCCGCGGGCACCAGCACCAGCGGGCCCACCACTGCACACGGACACGTGGTCACCCCCGCAACACAGTGTGACTGGGAAACGCGCACAAAGGCCAGCTGCCGTCCCCTCAGCTGCCACCGTAGGCAACACGCAGAAACATTTCCACGAATAGAAGGCTCTCCAAGCCTGGTCTCTCATGCAGATGTAATCGTGCACGCAGCCTCCACAGGGAAAACGGAGGCAGATGTGGCTCCCACTGATAGCCACACAGATGGCTCCAAGCACCGAGGGGCACAGTAACCTCCAAAGGAATTCCTCGTGAAACTCCAGTGGAATGTAATCCGAAATCCAGGGGGAAGATAGCCATGCCCTAAATTCAGACTGACTTATGCTGATTTACACTAGCATTTTGTGGGTTTGGAAAAACCAGGCTGCTAAATTGTTCTTAATTTAAACACATACAGCTTCTGATGTTTCTGCCAGATTAACTGTTGGTGATCTCTCTGCTGGTACTAATGCTATTGGAACACCACTGTTTCTAATTTCTGGTGTCTGATATCATGTACAGTTGTGCCCGTTTCATCATGCTAATTTTTTTCCTGGGTAGTACATGTTTTTAATAATACGAGACACACACACACACACATAAACTCACATGCATATATATGTATGCGTTTGGTAGACATAATTGGACCAGACACAGAAATTATATCTGTTCTTTATTTGAAAATGAAAATGTAAAGGAATGTTCCTTAGTATTTAAAGTACGTATTGTATTTAGATCTCATTTAAGTCTAGGTAATTGTACCTTTTTAAAAATTAATTTAAAATATCGGCATATCAGACCCACGTGTTTTTTTAAGGCTCCATATGTGGAAGGAAGACATCGATAGATGAAGCAGATGTCACATTGAGAAAAACTTCTCGAGTTTCATTCATTGCTAAGGCCATGTTATTTTAAACGCAACAAAAACATTCAAAATGTAATGAAAGCACAGTTGATGTTTTTTTCTTTTGGAAGCTATGCCTCCCAGAAATGTATCCCTTTTTGGGGGGAAAAAAACCCCAAACCTCAAGACTAGCTGGGAGCAACATTAAGGGCAATTTTCAGTAACAGGTTTCTCTTTCATTTACTTCATCATCAGTACAAAACCAGATTTTATACATTTTTGTTTCATTGACTGGGTTTCAAATACGTAGAAAGGTCAAAGCTGCTGATAATTATTCAGTCATATCAAGCTTCACAGATAATAGTTTTCTGCTGAAATACAGATCAAGATCCGTTTTTCCAAAACCTGGCTATCACCTGGGAGGTTTAGAAACACAGGAATTCCTGGGCCCCGGGATCTTCGTTTTCAGATCTCCCCCAGCGTCCTCCGAGTCTCGGGCCCAGCACCAGCATTTAGCGGAGGCCAGCATTCGGGCACCACCGGCCTGGACGAACGTGGGGCGTGCGCATCTCCTGTGTCCGGTTTACTGGTTCTCCTCCAGCTGGCCCTTGCAGGCTTGGTCAGTGGTGGACTTCAGCAGGAGTTGAAACCGCTGCACTTTTTTAATCACTGAGGGGTAATGCTGTTCTCACTGGGTTTTCCCCGGGTCACGTGTTGCCCTTCAAACTTGCTCTCTTTGTTCTGGCGCTTTTTGTTTTGTTTTTTTTTTAGGACAAAAACAGCCTTATCACTATTTCTTACTATCAGATTTGCCGCCTTGTCATTCAGTCTGCTGTCGCTCAGAGGCCAGGCTTTTGTGACTGTGTCATTATCCCAGGTCCCCGAGTTAAAGACCAGGCCCCCAGCTCCGCAGGGAGAGGGCCGGTGCGTGGGAGGGAAGGGCCCGGCGGCCCCGCCCGCCGAGGGCTGGAGCCCGGCGTCCCCTGGCGCGCGCACAGCACCGCGTCTGGATTCCTCCGCCCGCCCCAGCAGCGCTGCGCGCTGCCAACTCCCCCGACGACTCCGGGCTCTAAATTAAGGCCAGCTCCCCCGCGCGTCCCACGGGCTCTTTCATGTTCCCCAACCGCAGCCCGAGAGAGGCGCCTGGGTCTCAGCAGCAGCAGACCGGCACATGTTTGCCCAATTCCTGAGACGTGAGGACAGTGGTCTCTGCGCCACCAAAAGCTTTTCTCTCTCTCGTATTTTCGGTCGGAGCCGACGTCCCAGCGCTCCTCGCCTGTCACGTGTGTTTTGCAGCGCCTTCAGCCCCGCCCCGGAGGAGCAGTGGAAGTTGAAGGAACAGCAGCTGCAAGTGCAGATCGCTCAGCTCGAGACGGCCCTAAAATCCGACCTAACAGACAAGTCCGAGATCCTCGACAGATTAAAAAGCGAGAGAGGTATCTGTGACTTGACTGCTGACTCGCCCATTTCACACCTGCGCCCGACGCGTTGCCGTGCACGGACTCGGTCGGTGCCCTGCCGGGCGCCGGGCTGTGCGTGGGAGCCGCGGCCGGTGTCCGCAGCGGTCCACGCGCGTGAGGACCAGTGGTCGCGGAAGCTTTCTTTAGCCTTCCCAAACTGTGAGCCTGTCTTAGACGGCCAACAAGTGTTTACTTGCTGGGCACTGTTCGAAGTTCTGGGGACGCAGCAGTGAGGAACACAAAGGCCTGGCCCGCACGCGGCCTAAGTTCAGTGGGGGAAGCGAAGAGGGAGTCAGTCGGCTGTCTGGCGGTGGCACGTGCACTGGGCGTGGAAACAAAGCAGGGCCAGACGGCAGAGTGGCCGCAGTCCTTGACAGGTCCAGCGGGGACGGTCCCCCCGGTAGTGAGAAGTCGGAGTCCTCACTGTGACGGTGACCTTCTGTACCAGGAAGCCTTGCCAGGGTGTCCCTGGCAAATTCAGTCGTGTGTGAGGGGCAGGTGGGCCCAGAACTGGATTGCTGGGGAAGGGCAGGTATGTTTTGTTTGCTCTGTATTGTTTTGTGTGTTGCAAACAAAAACAAGGACTGAGCATGCCCCCGCCCCCACAAAAAGAACAGATGTCCCCACCGAATAATAATCATTAATAACTTTCATGTTAGGACGAGTCACTGGTCTCACCCTGCCTGTCCCAGAGAAGTAAAATAATTATAATTACAGTAGATGTTCGATTTACTCTATTCCACACACATATATATTACACACAAATGCACAACAGGGGAACTAAACTATTAGGTTCAAATGTTTTATCTGCGGCTCATGCACTAGGTAAACCGAGTGATGTGATGATAAGGTTGCTTCTTGGGAACATTTGCAGTTTTGTTTCATGAGAACATTTAGAAGTTTAATGCAGGCTCAGGGAAAAAAAGAAAAAAACCTATCTTGTCAGTATTCTATGTATTGATTTAAATCACAGTGACATACTTCATTAACTATAAGAAAGATTTTTTCCCCATTTTAACATTTCTGAAATGGAGATGCATTTTATAAATCATAACATTTAAAATTATGGTCTTTTTTTTGAAACATTTTAAGAAGGCTAAAACAGAACACACGTTACAATTGATAGTCTGGAGTTCAAGGAAACACTTCTTTTGAGCAAGTGATTAAATCTGCTCACAAAGGAAACGTATAAATTGTACTCTTCCAAAAACACATAAATGTCTCATTCTTAAAGAAAACAAATGAAATAAACTTTCCTTATTTCTGTGCTTTCTGTACTTCTGTAGATATTAAGAATTCCAAAACTCTTATCTACGGACATCTGAATCAATCTGAGGGTTCTTATAAATTATTAAATCTACAATTGCCAAGATATTTTATTTCAACTAGTCAATTTCTCGTCTCTTTTTAAACTAGTTCTTATGTCTCTTTTGGATTTTCTCAATAATAAAAATAACTCATGTACACCATAAAAAAAGTCCCATTAAAAAAAAATTTTTAATCACTCAGTTTCACAGTGCTGAAGATAATCTCTACTAATATTTACATATGTCCTTTCAGATTTTTCTCTATGTGTAGATAGTTTTATAACATGCTTTTTTATTTACTATATTGTGAGATAATTCCTTGAGCATGCATGCAAATTCTCATCCTCCTGATCTGTTGTGGTTGTCACAGTTTCTCAGCATGAGGGTGTGTCACAGATTGTTTGACAATCTTCTATTGATGAATTTTTCAATTGCTTTAGTTTTTTAAGTATCATAAAAATTTTCTAAACAAATCTGTGTACACTTATTCATTTTTCCTAAGGAAGATTACTGGAAGTAAATCTCTATTTTTAATCCCACTGTTATTTTAAGTTATTTTTTGCTTGAATGCCTGAAATTTATAGGTCTAATGATTTAAGGTTTTGTTTTTTTGTGAAAATGTCACAATAGATTATAAGAAAAATATCGCAGCCTTTAACTATTTTTTTCCAGGGAAACACTACACCAAAAAATTGAAATTGCCTATTTAAGGAAATCTTTTAATATTTGGAAAGTTCCTCTTTGTATAACAGATTTTGAAATTGTTTAATTTCACTTTGAAGTCTCTTCACACACTTACCTTTTCATGTACCAAGTGTTCTCTGCCAGAAGATGTTTCCCTGGCTTCTTGAAGTCATTCATCTCGCTGGCAAATTATTTTTAGAGAATACTCACCTCTTTATTCAAGGTACAAATTAGTTTCAGATTGTGTGAGTGCGTGGGGGAAGGATATGTAAATGCTGCTTGCATTTGGTTAATGCTTAAATTAACTGCATGTGTTTAAAGGGCTGCTTTTGAAAGCCCCTTTCTATCTTTAGCTGAAATGCATAATTCAGCATAATGCTATGGTTATATTGATCACAGCTGAAGATATTAACACAAAGGAGTTCTGAAAATTGTTTAGTTGAATTGTTCTCTGCAGTCTGCTTATTAATGCTGTGCTTGAAGAACATAATTTTAAAAGAGTGAAATGTTATCTCATTTGAATAAAATGCTGTTTAGTTTAACCTGCTTTTTGTCAAATGATAAGGTAAAGGAGGTTATTTTTCATCTTGTACAGGGTGCTTTGATTTTTCATATTATAATTCAGCAAGTCTATTTCCTCTTTGAACTACAGTGTCTCCCAATAAACAGTTTAATAAAGGAAAAATATAGTGAATAATTCGACATAAAATTCAATAGAGAGAAAGTCACTGGCACTCAGTACTATCTTCTCCCACTGAGTTATTTACTCACTAATAATGCCATAGTTTAAAAACATCAGTGAACATATGGGGACATCGTTGTTGAAACAAAAATGAGTAAAAGAAGAAACACTGGAATAAGGTAATTTGTATTTGCTGGCATGTCATTCTTGGGGCCCTGCTCTGAAGAACGGGAACCGCAGAGTGACTAGGGCTGAGAAACAACTGTCTCAACGGGCACGGGCAGGCCTGTCCCCTCCGCCCGGCCCACCCTCCGAGTCCCTCACAGTTAGCTCTGCTGGCCGGAGAAGGGAATCGTATCCTCCCCAAGACCCGTGCTGTCACACCCTCTGCCTACAGCCACCTCCTTTTTGTTACCTAACCATGCTATCTAGGTGTCATTTTAACCTAATCAACATAAAATACAGCTTTCTGCATTCTTATACTACTTTCTAAAAAAAGAAAGCAAGTTTATTTCATGAGAATTCATATTTTTTATTAATCCCAATTTTTAGTTTAAAGACAAGTATTTCACCTTTATCTTCAAAATTTCCAAGTGTTGTCCACATTATAAATTTGTTTCCATTTTGTTCATTAAATATTAGCAATTTATACTCCAGGATAACCTTTAACCTTTTACCAATAAGAAAAGGTATCTATATATTTGATTCTAAAATGTCTCTGCATACCCTAGATTCACAGGTTTGTTTTACTTTTTAGTTTGCCAGGAAATATGTGATATTAAAGATACCCAAATTTACTCCCTTTCTTCTTAACTGTGTGTTTTACCATTTCTTTACTTCCATGTAGTATTTCTAGCTTGGAAACAGAAAGCATTTTAAATGTCAGAAACATATTTTTGTATAAAAAGCAGCGTGCAAATGCACTCATGTAAAGAATTCTTGGCAGAACGTGTTGACTTGCTTTTTTTTTTTTTTTTTTAAGAAAAGGAAACAAAAATGTAGAACTTGAGTTGAGGGCTTAGGACAAACACACATCTCTGGGAATGGCTGAAATTAGTGGGGACACTTTGGTGACATGGTTTAGGGCCAGTCCACTGGGAGCCAGAACGGAGGTGCCTTGACCACCACAGTGAACTCCAGTGAAGGGGACACTGAAGAACATGACACTAAAGAATACATTTGTTAGCTGGCTACTATGCTTTTTTTTTTCCTCAAGTTTAAAGCATGTTTAATGCAGGGAGAGAAAAATTAGTCTCTTTATGGATTTCCTGTCTTCGGTAACACGGCTACCCTGAACCCCAGTTTGTGGGCCTGGGGAACACCCCCCACCTCCGTTTCTCAGTCTCGGGGTCCACATCCTTCTCATTCACAGCGTGAGCTCATCAACAACCCACATGAATTATTACTGATACTGCCACGCACTGGTTGAGAATCTATTTCCACCTTAACAGATTTGTTCAAAGTGTAGCTGATTAAAATTGTGGCTTTAGCTGTTACCAAAGAAATTACCTTGTTTGGATAAAAAGGCTTTTTGTTAAATTGGGAAAAGGAAATTCAAGGAACTCAAAAAAACTAAAAGATAAATTTTTTCTTTTGCATGCCTTTCAGGACCCTTAATAAGTAAGTAAAAATCATAGATTTAGAAACATATTTTCTTAGGTATTTTAGATAGAATGTTCCTGTGAAGTCCCAGAGGCCACAATTTCCTTATATTAGTACTGCGAACGTACGTCTTAAGTTTTCGATAAGCGGTGAGTCATATGGCAGACACATGAGAGGGTGCGCTCATCCCTCCTTCCCGGCCGCCAAGGCCTAGGTGCCGGCTCAGCCTCCTCTCTGACCAGAACGGCTTGGGGTGTGCGCATCGGGAGCCGTATGGATTTAAAGTGTGTTCTTACCCTGCCTCCTCTCATACCTTTCCCATTGTATCGCCTTCTTCTTTAAGAGCAAAATGAGAAACTCGTCCAAGAAAACAGAGAACTGCAGTTGCACTACCTCGAACAAAAGCAGCAACTTGACGAACTTAAGAACCGCATGAAGTTTTACAACCAGGTGAACCATTTCCTTCTTCACGAAATAAACACCACATTTGTATCTACATGTTTTACGTGTAGGGAGAACGCTATGCGAGAATGAAAAGGAATACAAATACCTTGCTGCACGTATTAATTCATGGTGGCGGGCAGCTTACGTTCGTTCCACGAGGGTAGTCTGCATAGTTGGGGTGTCTCGTGTACTTGCCGTTAGCATCTCATCGTGAGCTTCCGCTCTCTCCGTCTGTTGCAGGAGAGTGACATCAATGCTGATGAGCTGAGCGAGGCGCTCCTGCTTATAAAGGTAACTTTCTGAACTTCACCGTGAATTTCATGTCTACATATAACTGTCTCAGCATAATGAAGGCCCTTTATCTGTAACCCTTTTACATGGAGAATGAATTATTCAGGAAACTGGTCAGGCGACTTTTAGTTACAGCATATACACATTTCATAACGACATCAAAATTACACTAACATGGATCTTAAAAACTTGTATTTAAAGGACTTTCTCCAGCTATAGCAAACATTTTGCTTTTGCATGCTTTACTATAAAACGAATAAACAATGTTCTGTCCTAAGAGATCTTGGTGCACACTATCATTTTAAGTCAAAGATTGAATTTTAAGTGTTACCAGAAGATGTTTTCCAGTTCTAGGATATTCTGTTGTTTACAGGAAGACATGAGAAAATGCATTTATTTCCTTTGAGATCATCACAGTGTAGATTTTAATCATATGAAGACACAGAAATAGAAATAAATGTACATGATTTCTTTTTTATGTCATGAAGTAATAAACTGTTTTTTGAATTCTCTATAATTGTTCCAAATGTCTGTCCAAATATATTTTCTATACCAGGACTACTTTATTCCTGATGGAAAATGGAAATATATCTGTTTTCAATTAATGATTTTTCCTTGCTATACCTATATTAAATTGCATGATTACATTTTAGAGACTCTTGTTTCAATAATAAAACATGGTTTTGTTTTAGGCTCAAAAATCACAGAAAAATGGAGACCTTTCCTTTCTAGAAAAAGTAGACAATCAAGTTAATAAAGACCTAGAACATTCCCTGAGAGAGCTGCAAGCAACTCATGCAGAAACAGTGCAAGAACTTGAAAAGACAAGGAACATGCTAATTATGCAACATAAAATTAATAAAGATTATCAGGTAATGTAATACACGGAGTGGCGAGAGTCAGTTTCCTGTGATGTTCTACGGATGATTTACTTTCTTAAGCAGTATCGCGTATGATCTTGTAACCTGTGATCCTGTGTTGTCATGTGCCTGGAAGTTGGCCGTGTACCTAAGCACTTAGAACAGAAAGGCAGGATCTGAGAGCGCAGTGGTGGCAGCCAACTCCCGTTTTCTACTGTCAGCGCCCTCTGCTGGTGGGCTGCGGTCCTTCTGGTGCACGCCAACCTCCACTAGTGGGAAGACCCACCCCCCACCCCCCCACCCCGAGGGAATCCGAGTTTTGTTGATTTCACTTCTGATTTTATGAACAGTTCTAAACCAGTTTTCTATACTGTAAGCTATTTGAGGTCAGGAAAGTGGCTTCCAGCTCCCGGTATCTCCAGGATCTAGAAAATGCTTGAATCATCCTTGCTTTAAAAAACAAAAAGGGAACAGATCACGAGTACTGAAACTTACGTCATTTTTCAGATGGAGGTTGAGGCCGTGACCCAGAAGATGGAGAATCTGCAGCAGGATTACGAACTCAGAGTGGAGCAGTACGTTCATCTCCTGGACATCAGGGCGGCGCGCATCCAGAAGCTAGAAGGTACGGTGCGCATGGTGCGCTGTCTGCCTCGTCCAGATCCACACTCATGGCTTCTTTTCGCCCTCCCCCCGCCAATTCATAGCTGTAACAAAGATGCACCAGAAAGGCTGTTATGGTCTGATTATTTTCTACTCAGGAGTATGTAGAAATTCCTTACTGCTTTTTGAATTCAGTGCTGCTTGCAGACTGGATTTCAAAGCACTTCATAAAGTATCTCAGACGGAATTTACCACCCCATTTCTCATTTCTCTTCTGAGGAACCTGTGCATCTTACCAAACCAACATGCCTGCTCTTTGTCAGATTCCTCCTGCTCAGTCCCGTCACGGTGCCTTCGCCTCCTCCGCGACCACCTTTCCCCGACTCCAAGATATACACCCCTCCCTGCTTCAAACTCCTAGTGCAGGCGCGAGCCAGGAAGCTGGCTCCCGTTGCTCCTCCCCACTCCTCCACCGGCAATGGCCTTTCAGCGGTCCTCCAACTGGAGCAAGTGTGGGGGTTACAGGGAGGGCTTGGTTCTCTTGCGGCTTCCTGGGCCTTCCCGGGACCCTGGGACCCACGGGTCTATTCATTTATAAATAACTCCAGGTAACTCAGATACAGGTGCAGGACCACAGTTTGAAAAATACTGTCTCGGCACTGACCACTTTTCCTCTCGGGTACTGTGGTCTCCGAAACCGTGTTGGATATTACAGTACCAGGTTTCTCCACTGTCGGGGCTCTGCGCATTCTCTGTGACTGCAGTGTAAGTTCCGCACTTGGAAGTCCGTTACCTCTCTTTGGTGTCCCTTGCCACACAATGCTTCATTCAACTGTCTATGCCAGCAGCAATTTGACACTTAAAAATTACTGAGAGTCCCAAAGGCCTTTTGTTTATGTGGGTTACACTTGTGATACTTACCATATTAGGAATTAAAGGTGAGAAATTTTAAAAATATTTCAAGTCATGTTAAATAATAAGAAACCCATCCATGTTAACATAAATTGCAGCATGTATTTTTAAAATGCAAAGTTTTCTATACCAAAAATTAGTGAGAAGAGGGACATTTTAATTTTTTAAGAGCTTATTTATTTATTTTTAGAGACAGGGAAGGGAAGGAGAGAGAGGGAGAGAAACATCAATGTGTGGTTGCCTCTTGTGCTCCCCCTACTGGGGACCTGGCCTGCAAACCAGGCATGTGCCCTGACTGGGAATTGAACCGGTGACCCTTTGGTTCTCAGGCCCATGCTCAATCCACTGAGCTACACCAGCCAGGGCTTTTTTTAGTTTTGAAATTGTTTAACATTTTTGCAATTTTCTTAATGTCTGGCTTAATAGAAAACAGCTGGGTTTTTATATGTGCTTCTGTATTGAACCTATTATGATATCACATATCACGTAGGTTCTGGAAAACTTCATTATACACTCGTGAGAGAATAAAAATGTACAAAGCCAATAATATCTTAGGATTATTTTTTAAACAGTTCTGACTTCACAAACCTTCAGACTGTGCCAGGAACCCTCAGGGGTTCCCAGACCACACTTTGAGAACCACTGCTCTGGGTAGAAGGGCTCAGAGAATATCTTCATCTGACCGGACAGGGTTTTCCAGGAGTCACAGGGCAGTGCGCACCTTTCATTTCAAGGAGTACGCAGCAAAAATGTGCTCAATGGGACTCCCCTGAATAACGAGGTCATAGAGTTTGGGATTTTCACTTCTTTCAGGTCGTAGTTCACCTTTACCAGTATATGTCATCTGTCCCCTGCATTCGTTGGTTCAGCCCATAACGTGCCCACGCTGCTAGCGCATCCTGAGCAAAGTGCTGGGCTGCGGCGGGAATACGGATAGGGAGGACAGCTCAGGCGCCAGCCTCAAGGCACTCAGGAGATGCGAACAAACGGATAGGCTTTTTTCTGTGAAGAGCGTGGAGCCAGGAATGTGCAAAAGGTACCAGGGAGAAACTGAGGAATAAATGCCCGTTTATACCCGAAGGTCAGGGGAGAGTCCACACTCGAGGCTGGGAGTGTTTAAAGACGACAGAACTCCCCACTAAGTAGCGGCTGTAGGGGGCAGTCCAGGCAGGAGGTGAGGCGGGAAGAAGGGCCCTCGAGGGAAGCTCTGTCGTTCCTCCGGGAAACTGCGTGTGGACCCATCGAGTGGGGACCCGGGAGCAGTCATCCTGAAGGCCCCATCTGCCGTCCTGAAGGGTGGGAACCTCCCTGAACTGGAGGGCCACTAAGGCATTTTCCGAGAAACGTACCCAGGACTGCACTGTGGACGTTATGCTTCGGGACTGGGTGCAATGAGTCTGGCAGGCAGGCAGGCAGGAAGGAAGGGAGCAGTGCGGGTTCATGATGACCTAGGAAGTACACTCTAGAGGTTCAGGACGGCAGCATTAGTGGGGATGGAGAGGACGGGCACATTTGTTACATACTTAGGAGGCAGTGTCGGACGTGCCCCTAGAGGTGTGGGGCGAGGAAACCAGAAGGACCCGGCCCTCGCTGAGGCAGCCTGGAGGATGCCCCGCCCTCACAGGAGAGGCGGGGCGCAGGCAGAACTGGGAGAGGGCACGACGCACTCTCCTCTGGGCCCAGTGAGTGCGGTGTGCCTCGGGGTATCGGGGTGGAGGGCTCAGCAAGCCACTAGGCACCAGTAGCCGACATCCATAGAAGGGGATGACCTTGCCCATGGGAGACAGAGACTGAGGGGAGGATGAAAACGGAGACCCTGCAGGAATGAGAGGAAGGGCAGGAGGAGAAGCGGGAGGACGGCGACAGGACCCCGCGGCGGGGTGGAGTCCAGAGGAGGGGCTACCGGTGTCCACCATGCGGAGGGATCAGGTGACGCCAGGGCCGAAGTCTCCTCGACAGAGCGATCAGCTGGCTGCGGACGACCTTTTCTTGCGCAGTTCCAGGGGAAAAGGGAGGCCGGCGCCGTGCGTGGGAGGCCGGAGGGGGTCTGCTAGATTAGATGCAGGGCTGGAGACACAAGCATCCGTCCCTGGCCTGGAAGTTTGGATATGCCCTGGGGGGAAATGTGTGTTTAGAAAGAGCTGGGTCTTTTTTAAAAATGGTATCCTTTTTGGAGAAGTGTAAATAACGTGACTTTAAGCTACATAATTTGAAGTATACAATTGGGTGAGTTTGGGCCGATGTATATACCCCTGTGAAACCATCACCATAATCAAGATCGACAGACCCATCACCCCCCAAAAGACAGGAGGAGAGTATATCCAGGGAGGGATAAAAGTGAGGTCGCAGTTGTTCGTATGGAAAACAGTACAGTAATAAACTGTGTTCCGCGTGCTCACGGCCGTCAGCCGGCTTTCGCCTCCCTGGGCGCTGCTGGGCGGAAGGGGAGCCCACTCAGTAGGAGAGAAGGTGACAGTGGTGTCTCAGGAGCAGGCGCAGCCCCGGTCCTTACCTCGGCGGGTCCTTCAGAAGCCACCTTTCCCTCTTCCGTGGGGTAGCCTGTGTCACAGCTTACGTTGTAATTTTGTTGTTTAATAGGTGACGTCAAAACAAATGATGAATTTCGGTATAGTGTGGTAATATTCACAGAAGAGCCGTGCAGCCACAGAATGTAAGGTGGACGCCATTCCCCGAATGCGCTGAGACCTCCCACCACTTGGAAGGCCAGCCTGTGTCCCGCCTGCCAGTGTTGCAAAGGCCCTGAACCGCGTGTCTTCTCTTGCAGCCCAGCTGAAGGACATTGCCTACGGCACCAAACAGTACCGATTCAAGCCAGAAATCCTGCCGGACGACTCCGTGGACGAATTCGATGAGACCATTCACTTGGAACGCGGCGAAAACCTCCTGGAAATCCACATCAACAAAGTAGCCTTTTCTTCTGAAGTTTTACAGGCGTCTGGCGACAGAGAGCCTGCCACTTTCTGTACCTACGCCTTCTATGACTTCGAACTGCAGACGACCCCCGTCGTGCGGGGCCCTCACCCCGAGTACAACCTGACCTCCCGGTACCTGGTGCACGTCGACGACTTATTCCTGCACTACATTCAGAGGAACACGGTCACTCTGGAGGTCCACCAGGCCTACGGACCAGACTATGAGACAATTGCAGCATGTCAACTGCGATTCCACGAACTTCTAGAAAAAAGCGGCCGAATATTTTGCACGGCAGGTTTGGTTGGTGAGTACAGTTGGACGAGCTTTGGCCATCTGAATCGCCAGTTTGGTTTCTGTACTAATTCGGTGTTCCGGATTGGGGTCTTCTTTTACAGAGTCAGGGGGTCCCTCCGGGGGAAAGGCCAAATTCTCCACTCAGCTGCCCGCAGATGCGTGGACTCTCGTCGATGTCCTGACGATGGCAGTACAGTGACTGCTGGTTCTTTAAAGTCCTTTACGTGCAAATGTTTATTCACAATGTCAGTTTCCTTGTTTGTTAAACATCAAATGCAGTACGTGCGTCAAACACTGTTTTGTAAGAGTGTACCTTGTCACCACTGTCAGCAAGTACTGGGAACGTAGCGGTACGTGGTGAGTAAGACACCGTGCCTGCCCTCGTGCAGCTCACCGTCTAGAGGGGAGACAGGCCGTAAAACAAATGTATCATCACGTAGGACGAAAAACAATCAGGGCGCGTGGCAAAGAGGGAGGTGGAGGGTTGCTGATTCCGAGAAGGGCGCCCCGGCGGGGTGACGTCGGTGAAGGCCGAGCAGAGAGCCCCTCCAGGGCCGGGGAGGGACGCTGCCGGCAGAGCGAAGGGCAGGTGCGGAGGCTCGAGGGAGGGGCAGCAGGACGGCCGGAGCTGGAGCGTGGCTGAGGCTGGAGCTCAGGCAGGGCCAGGTCCTCCTGCGGACCAGAGCCCTGTCGGTCACGGTGAAGAGTTTGGATTTGATTTTTGCCCTCCGAATGATGAAAATCAGCGGAGGAAGACGAGGAGGAAAGGGGCACGGTCAGACCCAGGTTGTGGGGGAAGCGCCCTGGGCGCTGCAGGGAGAAGAGTGTGGGGGCCGGGAGGGAGGACGGGCCGCGGTCGGGCAGCCCTCACAGTGCTCTGGGAGGATGGCGATGGAAGCGTCGGTAAGAAGTGGTTGTAAGTGTGTGTTTGATTCACTCTTTCTTCAAGACTCACTTATCGACTAGAACAGTGAGGGAAATCGAGGAGGCAAGAATTTCTGGCGTGAGAAACCAGGAGAGTGGGAGGCGACTTACTGAGACGGGCCCGGGAAAGGAGCAGAAGTGGGGAGGGGGCATCAGGAATCGTGTTTGAGCACGTTAAGGCTGGCCCGCCCACTGGGCGGCAAAGCGGGGAGATGCCGCGGCGCAGCTGGAGACCCGAGGCTGGAGGTCACGGACACAGAGAGAAGGGTGGGAGTCGCTAACATACAGAATGCATGGGAAGCCTTGAGCCTAGACGGTATCACATGGGAAGTGAGTGTACACAAAAAAGGAAAGATGGTGAAGGACTGAGCCTTAGAAACCCCAAAACTTAGGGTTGAGGAAGAAGAGGAAGAGCCAGGAGTGGCCAGTGAGGCAGGAGGCGAACCCAGAGTGTCCAGCAGCCTAGATGCCGAGTGAAGGACACGTTTCAAGAAGGCAGGAGGGGGACTGGGGTTCTGGGAAGGTGTTTTATTCTATCGATTGAGCAGTTGCTTGCAGAGGTAGTATAGTCACATGATTCAAAAATCAAAAAGGCACAAAAGTTTACACCATAACGTGTCTGTCTCCCAGCCCTGCCCCCTAGATACTGTGGGTCTTCTCACCGAAGGCTGCACATTCTCCCCCCAGATTTTATGCATGTACAAACACGTGTGTCTGTGTGTTAATATTCTTATTTTAGGACAAGTTTTTAAATGATGGCGGATTTGAATCACGTTTGCATGTTGATGAGAAGGATCCATGAGCAAGGAAGGAGTTGTTCAAGTAGGAGAGAACAGGGTCATATTTTTAATATGTTATGCTCAGGAAAATTTTTGTCTGGAATATTATCTATTCAGCCATTATGTCCCTGTCCCTCTGGCGGGAACACATCAGTGGAGACCAGGCCCTTGCCCTCAGGATGCTTGCAAGGTGGTGGGGAAGCTGACGGGTGCGCAGCAGGTGGGTCAGGCGCCCCGGTGAGGGCACGGCCTCCCTTCCTGTGCAGGAGGCAGAGAGAGCTCTTCACAGGGGGCGCAGGCGAAGGGCGGCCCGGGTGGGAATGCTTGCTGAGGGTGCCATCGAGCGAGGGTGTGGGGCACGGCGGTGTGCGAGTGGCGTGGCCGAGGCCTCTTTCCCTCTACCTGTGACATGGTGGAGTGGGAAGGGGCCCGAGATTCCTTTAGGCTGATTAGAATGCGGAACATCACGTTCACAATTCTGAGGTCCCGCACTGTATCTGTCACACTGCACTGAGAGCAACTCGTTTTTTTTAAAAAGTGCCACAGCGTCAGAAAGAGTCTCTGGGGTGTTTGCCTTTCAATACTTAGATTCTTCTTTATATTTCAGGAGGGCCGAAGTAGTATGCCCTGGAAGATCTCAAACATACTTTACAGTTCTTAAATAACATCTAACGTGCAGTGCAACCCATAACTTTATTTTCAACCCATGGAGAGTAACTTTATTTTCTTCATCTCTGTTATTTGCCAATCACACATCGTTTGTGGGCGTCATATATTATTTTACTCAGTGTAACATTTATAGTTTTAATGTCTAGTGCCATTGATGTATTCTTTACGGGTATACATCTTGATTTATGGGACTGTTTTAACAGCAAGTTATATATTGATTTGTAGGAACTAAAGGAGACATCCCAAATTTTGGCACAGTGGAATACTGGTTCCAATTAAGAGTTCCCGTGGACCAAGCAATCCGGCTCTATCGGGAGCGGGCAAAGGCTTTGGGATATATAACATCAAGTTTTAAGGGGCCAGAGCAAACACCGTGGGTAAGCTTGTTTGGTTTTAAGACTCTTTTATGGCACAGAAATTTTATAAGATTCTTTATATGTCATGCTTTCAACTGAAATTATTTTCTTTCACAGCCATCAAGTGGCTTTTCCTAACTTTTTATTTTGAAGCAATCATGGACTCGCAGGAAGTAGCAAAAACCGTCAGAGAAGTCCTGTGTGCACTTCTCGCAGCTTGTGCTCGTTGTAAGGTCTTACGTAGCCGTACAGTACAAAGCCAACACCAGGACGTCGGCGCTCGCACAGCACCGTTAACGAGGCTGCAGACCTCGGGCATTTGATCAGCTTTTCCTCGAGCGAGGGAGGGGGAGGGGGAGGAGTTCCGTGCAGTCTCATCCCGTGTGAGCGTTCACGTAGCTACCACCACAGTCAAGATGCAGAGTTGTTCCGTCGCCACAGAGAAACCCGTCCTTGTGCTACCCAGGACACTCGTGAAAAATGGAATTGCATTGCGATCATCACACATCAAGTGCCTTCGTTACCCTCCCTACTGTGAAGGAAATACGTAGCCATTACTGGGCTATCAGTCGATCGTTCAAATTGTTTCCTCATGTTGGGTTTCTGAAATGCAAAGTAGAAGGCAAAATGAGCATTCTGACTGAAAATTGGATGTTTAAATGCAATTCCTCAGGGTAGCATTTCCCAAACTATGTTTCATGGAGTCTTAAAGGCTGTTTTTCCAAAAGAATGAATGCCATGATCCAGTGAATGCAGAAAGCACTGCATTAAGCAACGTTAAAAGGAATCCTTGACTTTCGGACTTCCCGTGTATATCATGATTCTCAAGAGGAACCACACAGTATGCAGTTACTCAGAGTAACAAGGGGGTGGAACGTCACAGAAACCTTGCAGAAAGTCTGGTCCAGCCTTAGTTACCTGTTTGTGTTTGGAGCTGCCTTCACTCCTGATGCACGCACGGGGCTGGGCCCCCAGGGGCAAGCTTGATGTCTGAGGGTCCTGTTCTCTCCCGCTCGCCACCCAGTTACAACTAATGATTCTGGAAGATCTGCCTGACCCCAGAAGCCAGTCAGATTCTGCTCTCTGAGATCAAGAGAAAGCAGGACTCTCCATGCCTGGAACATGCAAAATCTTCCTACCGTGTTAACCAGCAAAGGAAATAAAGTGGGTCTGGAGACACACAATAATGGGCAAGCGTGCAGAGAAAAAACAGAAAGTGGATGGAGAGTAAATTCTGGTGGTTTTCCAGCCCTAGCACCTTCCTAATAAGGCCCAACTACATTTCTCCTATAACAATTCTATGAAATAGCCCTGTAGCCTCATGTTAAGTCTCTTAGCCCTGACTGGTGTGGCTCAGTGGATTGAGTGTCAGCCTGCAAACAGAGAGTCTCTGGTTCGATTCCCAGTCTGGGCACGTGCCTGGGCTGTGTGGCCAGGTCTCCAGTAGGGGGCGTGTGAGAGGCAACTCAGCACACATTGATGTTTCTCTCCCTTTCTTTCCCCTTCTCTTACCCTCTCCCTGAAAATAAATAAAATCTTCTTAAAAATAAAGTCTTTTTTGTTATATTTACTAGATGGAATTAGTTTCTGTAACTTTCAGTTAAAGAACCACGACTGATGGACACTTCAGATCCCCGAACTTCAGAGAGCACAGCACCTCTTTCCCCGAGACCGTCGTTCTGGACCGGCGTTCTTCAGAACGTGCTTTGGGAAGTGCTGCTGTGGAAAAGGGAACTCAAAACAGAAAGACCGGATTATTCACTTAGTTCTGTAGTTTAAAGGTTTTTAGGCTGCCAGTTTCTGGCTTGAACGAGTCATTTACTGTTGGAATTTTGGCCATTGTGGGTAGACTCGGGAAAGATGAGGAGGGGGTACTCTTCCTCTGACTCAGCCTCCTGCTGCTGGGCGCAGCCTGGCCCTGGGAGCGCAGCCTGGCCCTGGGAACACAGACTGGCCCTGGGAGTGCAGCACTGGGAGCTGCTTCTCGGGTTCCCCCTCTCCACAGCGCCAGATGTCTCTCCACCAAGGACATCAGGCCCGGGCTGTGCTTCCTTCTCCAGGAAACTTCTCTGCGGTCAGAGGTCCCAGTGCTCAGCCCAGAGTCAGAAATGCAGTAAAAGAGGGTCCCTTTCTGGAAGGTGGAGGACTCTCTGACAGTGAACCGAGCAAGGCACTGAAACACCAGCATTTCTTCGCCCCGGGTCACCGCAGCTATGGCGGAGTTAACAGGCCGCGCAATTGCCTGCTAAAACGCCCGTGCACTGGCTACCTGAGCAAAGGGGGCCGTAGACCAGTGTCCAGCTCTGCCTGACAGTCCTTTAGTGCTCCTCTCTCTTCTGAAACGGGCTCGAGATCGGGCTTTTTATCCTCTCCGAGCTTGTCCGTTCTGATTCCGTTCTCTCCTTCTTACAGCGCTTCTGTGCTGGCTGGTCTCTGCCCTCGGGTGTCTGCTTCTTCAAATCCCATTGGTTCAAGATGAGGGCCAACCCAAATACAACAAAGTTATCTCTCTAGCTGGGGCCCATCAGACTCATCAGATTCTCATTTAAGAAAGGGATGTAGCCAAGTAGCTGGCACGGTGGAAGGATTAACTCTTAATCAAATTGTGCACTAGAGAACATTGGTCTTTGGACCCACCTGCTCACTTGACTCAGTTATTACATAGAATTAAAGGGCATAAGATTAACTCTCTCTTGGTTTTATTTGGTTTTAACAGCGATCTTTACATATATGTTCAGTCTTCTGTGTTTTGTTTTGTTTTGTTTTTGCTAATAGCATAAGATCATGTTTACACATGTTCCAGTGAATATTGGTTTTGAATAAGAATGAGGAATTTAACTGAGAAATTCACCATGAAGTGAAAATATGCAGATTTTTGTCCATTCACCAAGTTCTTTTGTCTGGGTGTTGGCAGCTGGTGTTTATCTTTTTACTGTATTATTAATATAAATATGTTATGTTTTTTTCCAGTTGAGTCAACAAGCATCCAGAACGGCTCAGCCCAGCTCTGCTGACTCCGGAGACGGCAGCCTGAACGAACTTCACGTCACCGTCCAGTGCTGTGCCCAGCTGCGGTCCCGCGCGGGCCAGCCTCAGCCACACCCCTATGTTGTGTACAAGTTTTTTGACTTCGCCGACCACGATACAGCCATCATTCCCAGCAGCAATGACCCGCAGTTCGATGATCATCGGTGTTACCCAGTGCCAATGAACATGGATTTGGATCGATACCTTAAGTCAGAGTCTCTGAGTTTTTATGTGTTTGACGATAGTGATACCCAGGAGAATAGTTATATAGGAAAAGCCAATGTGCCTCTGATTTCCTTGGCACATGACAGGTGTATCTCAGGTAAGCCCACTTCTTAGTCTGTGAAATTATAAAAACAAGCCTAAATTATACCTTAAGGTTATGGGTATGTTGTTCTGTTTATAATTGATCTTCCTAGCCATCTCAGATCATCTTAACTTTGGGCCTATAACATTTGGCTTTTTGATTTTTTATTTTTCTTCCAGGAATTACTGCATTTATCTTAACACAACCCGATTAAAATTAATACCAATTCCATTAAAATATAGGTCCACTCCAGTATCATTTTATTGGACCCCCCCAGTGTTTGTTGTCATATATGTATATGTGTGTGTATTACATATGTGCACTGTACGTTGTCATGTATGTGCTAAATACACACGATGCATGTGTGTACGTGTTACGTACGTGTGTGTGGTATGCCTGCATCTGTTAGAAATCCAGCAACATGGTGTATAATTATTGCACCCTTTAAAGAAACCAAGAGAAGGGAGAATATGCGTAAGCGTCAGAGACTTCTTTACATTAACATGTATTTACCACTTCTGACATTCTTTATTTCTTCCTCTCTGGTGTCCCTTCCTTACTCCAGTTTAGCTTCATTTCTTCCCAGCCCTTTGTGCTATTATTTTCCTATATTTCTGTCTTTCTGTAAGTCCAACAATATAACTTTACAATTACTGTTTTATGCCATTGTCTTTTAAATCCGTTAAGAGAAGTAGTTAGGGAAAACATTTATTTATACTAGCTTTTACGATTATCTATGTAATTACCTCTATTGGTCTGTTCCCTTGTGTCGATTCAAGTTACTCCCTGGTGTCATTTCCTCTCAGTCTGAGGAACTTCCTGTAGTGTGCGTTGGAAGTCAAGTGTGCTGGAAATGAATTCTCTCCATCATGGTTATCTGGGAATGACTTTATTTTGCTTTTACTTTTTGAAGGACAGTCCTGTTAGATACAATATTCTTGGTTGGCAGGGGGGTTTGCAAAGCACTTTGAGTACATCAGACAACTGACTTCTGGCATCTGTCATTTCTGATGAGAAGTCAGCTGTTAATGTTATCAGAGTTCCCTGGTACTTGATGCCGTTATCAAGATTTTCTTTTTCTTTTTTTTTTTTAGCTTTCAGCATTTTGTCTATGGCATGTCTAAGTATGGATTTCTTTGTGCTTACCCTGCTTGAAATTTGTTGAGCTTCTTTATGTGTAGGGTATTGTTATATACCAAATTTGGGGAGTTTTTGCCATTATTTCTTGAATTATTTTTTTGCCTTTTTTCCTTCTTCTTGGACTCCTATTACATATATGTTCATATGTTTAATGGTGTCCCACAAGTCTCTGAGGCTCTGTTCATTTCTCTTCATTTTTTTCTTCAAATTGGATAATCGCTACTGGTCAGTCTTCAAATTCATTGATTCTTTCTTCTGCCGGATCAAATCTCCTACTGAGCCTGTCTATTGAATTTATTCATTTTATTAATTGTACTTTTCACCCCCAGAATTTCTATTTAGTTCTTTTTTTTAGTAATTCATGTATCTTTATTATACAGTATTCTCTGTTTTATAAGTCACTGTAGCCATACTTTCCTTTAATTCTTTAAATGTGTTTTCTTTTAATTCTTGGAACGTATTTGTAATAGCTGCTCTGAGGTCTTTGTCAGCTAAGTCTAATATCTGGACACTCACAGAGAGTATCTGTTGGTGGCTTTTTCCTGTGTATACATCACACCCACTGTTTTCTTTGTACTTCTCTCTCTTTTTCCTCCCTTAGAGCTGGACATTGTGGATACTATATTGTAGCAACTGTGGATCCTAACTGTCCTACTCTATGCGGTGATTATCGTTGCTGTTTTTGTTTGTTTGGTGACTTGCCTAGACTAGTTCTGTAGTCTTTATCTCTCGCTGTAGCCATTGATGTTTCTGCTACGTTTTTGTTTGCTTATGTTATCCTTGTTTTAATTTTAAGCCTTTGTCGGCATAGTTCAGTGGTCAGCCAGTGGCTGGTCACAGGTCGTGCTTCAGCCCCTTGGTCTGGCAGGCACCCGCCCTTTGCCCGCGGGTCAGTGAGTGGCTTGGATAGTGTACACAAGGGTCACAGTCCGCAGGTCTGCCGTGCAGATAGATTACGAGGGTCTGGCCTACCTCCTACTGTTCTTACTGAGGTTGGATAGACTTCCTTGAGTAAGTGCTTCTTAATTTGTTGTACATTTTTGACCAATTTCCCGAGACCTTCAATGGCTATTTTTGATCATTTTGGCCATTTTTATCATTGATTTTTATGGAGAGGATTTCCTGAGCTCTTCACTCAGCCACTCTGGAAGCCTCACCTGGGCCTGTTAGAGAAGTTTGCCTGCTCCCTGTATCCCGTCTGCGTCCCTTTGTTCTGCCGCAAGTCCCCAGTGGTCTGCTTTTTCCTTCCCGGCCAGCCATTCAAAGACATGGCGTGCCCTTGAAGACCAAGTGAAGGGCACCCCTAAACAAAAGTTATGCTGGAAACTTGGGTTTGTTTTTTTCCAGTCAGGGATTTTTCAGACTGAAACATCTAGTATAATGATTAAAATTTGTGACTCAATATCACAGATAGGCAATACTTTTTATTGCTGCTCTGTGTTTTGGACGCTTTCTCTTATGGACATATTTTGGCTGTGCTTCTATTAATTTGGAGTAATTTAACAAATCTCAATAAAATATTTAAAGTTATAATAGAATTATATAGTAATATAAGGACTCCTTTAGATATATGAATTATTTAAAATTTTGAAGTTTTAATATATTTTTCTATAGAGACAAGTTTTTTGCAAGAATATGTGAATCAAAATGAAGGTTGATATTTGAGATATACCCCAGGTGCTGTCTTTGAGGAGTGCTGAGAATTTTGAGTAATCTCTGAATTTCATTTCAGTGGATTAAAATATTTATAAGTTAATCTTCTCCACTTTGAAACAGTATTATCTTTGAGGACTTAACTTCTGAAAGCAGTCTTCTTGAGAGATGAACCTACCGTGCCTCCTTCTGTCTTTATTTTATTCTCCGAGTCATTTGGGTTATGAGTAAGAGCCAGAGTCATTTTTTTAAGTTGTGATGTGTTCTCTTTAACTACTCTGGTAACAAAACTTTACTCTAGCATTAATTAGCAATATTTTCGTGTGACTTGATAGGAATATTTGAGTTGGCAGACCATGAAAAGCACCCTGCAGGAACCATTCATGTTACGTTGAAATGGAAATTTGCGTACCTCCCACCGAGTCAGTCCCTGCCTTCCGAAGAGTTAGGGAACGCCATACACAAGGAAGAGTCGGAAGTTGCTCAGAGGCTGCCTCCAGCGTCCTCCGTGAGCACGCTAGTCGTGGTGAGTAACGGTGACTTTGACTTTCTTACACAGCTTCACAGCCCCAAAGAGAGAAAACAGCTAAAGTCTTACCTGAAACGGACGACCGTCACACTCAGTCTGCCGTATTGCTTTCCCGTAGGCCCCAACCCCTAAACCAAGGCAGCGTCTCACGGCTGTCACGAAGAAGGTGTCCTTCGTGGACGATGTCCCGCCACGTCAGGACGCTGTAAGTAGTCAACACTCAAAACACTGATTCTTCCTGCAGCAAACACTGGAAAGAAGTGGTGGAGGTGTGGTACACCCTGCCTGATTTAAGTGAAAATTGGGTGAATAAAGCACTTCTTCATCCTTTCAAGTGTTAGCTTGGTAGCTTGGTCTTGTGTGTAAGTGTCACCTGTTCATACTCTTTGCTCTGATCCTCCTCTCGGCCCCATACCTTTCTCCAGGGATTGCCCTAATCTTTGCCTTCTGTTTACCAAAATCTAACAAGCAAATAAACAGAACCTCTTCAAAAACGGCTTTAATTTCGTCTGCCCTTTTTTGAAGTGTTTCTTGAACCCACTCTAGACAGCCCCTCTCCTGATTGCTGAGGCACAGGGGCCTCCATCCTGCCACATCCGGCGGCCCCCCGGGGGTCAGTCTCCTCCCCGTGTTCATCCTCTAGTAACACTTCGTACAGTGGGGCGCCTGCTCCCTCCTCTCCTGGCCTTGGGGCCTCCTGAGTTTTCTGCAGGTTTACCAGGCATTCTCCTCACTCTCCCAGACCGTATCTCTGAAACGCTGAAGTGCCTCAGACGTCAAGCTTCAAACCCGCCCCTCTTCTCCTCTCAGTCTGCGTGGACATGAGGAGCGCTCCTCCGGTCCCCTGGTGCTAAACAGCGTCTGTTTGCCAACACCCCCGTATTCTCAGCCCCCGGTGTCGCTCTCACTGCCACTCCACACTGGTTTTCTTCTGCTGATTGCACGTGCACCGGGCAACGTGCAATCTAAACTAACACAGCAGACCCCAACCTGCTCTAAGCAGCCTTTGAAAATACTTCTCTCTCATTCTCCCCGTTCTCACAAGCGACGTTCTCACTCACCAGCGGCACGCCCGTGACATTTCAGGGGCGTCTCTGCGGCTCCCTTTTCTCACGTCCCACATCCCGTTCACCCACAGAACTGGGAGCTGTGCTGTCAACACGCACCTCGTGTTCATACCATCTCCACCGTTACCGCTCGGGGCACCGTTCACTCTTGAAGACTTTTTTTTTTAAAGTTCATAGTACAGCTATGAACTTTCATAGTACAGCTTTCATAGTACAGCTTCTGTGTCGTAAAGGACACAAATCTGAAACACGCAGCTCAGTGAATTTTTACATACGTACAGACCTGTGTAACCACCACCCAGATCAAAATGTGCCTTCTCCCCAGGGCGTGAAATAACATCTGACATATACAGACATTTAGTAGATATGTTCTGAATAAATGAATGCAACCATCATCATTTAGGCCCTGCCTTACAGTTGGCATCTACTGAGTGCTTACTGTGTGTCAGGCACTGACCTAAACCTCATAGTCACGGAACTCATTTAATTCTCAGCGCAACTCCATGTTGTTCGTGCTGGAATTATTCCCATGCACGGGCCAGGAAAGTAATGTCTACAGAGATTAAGCAGCTTGCTCAAGGTCAAAGTATTCGATCTGGGATTCAAACACAAGTAGCCTGATTCCTGAGTAAATGATCATTAGTATAAAAAAGACATAGACATAGACATGTTTTTTGCAGCATTAGCCACAGCAGCTAACAGTCTAGTTAAATGTCCTACGCTAGTAAAATGGTTCATGAAATCACAGTACATCCACTCAGTATGATATTATATTGTCACTGAGTTTGTTTTCTCTTAGAAAAGAATGGCGATGCAGATTCTTATGTGGTTGTTATGAGGTTCAATTAAGGTATAATACAGTTGAAAATACTTTACATACTAATCACCAAAGCTCAGTTTTTCTATCTGTAAAAGTGGCACTCCCTAGAATATTATGGTTTGGTATCATGACAAAAAGCAGTCAGCAAATAATGAAAAATTCTGTAGCTCTTGACATTATATACTTTAAAGGATTATGTCTGCTCTATATTTCATTCTTCTAATAAAGTGTTTTGGGTTTTGTTTTGTTTTTTATTGCTTAAAAAATGACGTTTACCCAAAGTTTACAAGAAAATTTTATGTTACAATGTTAAATTTTTTTCATGTAAAAGCATAAATTATATTTATAATATAATCATCACTATATAACTAAAATGTTTTATTTGCATTAAAAATCAATTATAAAGAAATAGGAATCTAACTAGTTATAATAGATATTATCATTGGATAATGAGAATGTAGATTCGTGTTCATATGTTTTATGTTTTCTTGTTTAACTTCCACATTTTCTGTATTGGGCATGTTTCCTTTTAAAACAGTGAAAATGGTAAACTATATTAACACAACAGTATACAACTATGTAGACATTTGGATAACTAGTTTTCTTATTCAGCCTTTATTTGTATTCTCTTCAGTGTCAGTAATTACAGATCTGTGTTACTAGGTTTCTCATAGTCACATAAGACTCTGGTATCTGGATGTAGCATGTTTGATTTAATTCACGCTCCAGTAGACAGCTGCGTGGGGTTTTCACTTTCTTGACATTATATACAATGCTTCGGTGGGAGACCCGTGCAGTCCTTCAGTTGCACTATTTCGTTGTCCCACAGGTAGCTGTTATTAGTATTATATATATAACATACATACATATGAATATGTAAAAGTGTTAGGATGCTTTTGACTTTCATAATAACCCAAAATAACATACATGCATGTTTTCACATGAATGTAAGGAGATTTCTGCTGCTCCTGAGGATAAGAAGGAAGTGTCACGAGAAGTCGAGCATACACCAGAAGTAGATATTAGCAGGCCAACTGTTTCACATATTTCTGAGGTATGTATTTGTATTAACATTATTTCAATGGTGTTATCAGTTTGGTTCTTAAAGACTTCGGTTCTTAAAGACTTTGTCTTTGCATAAACATAGGTCAGGAAATCATAGCATTGACCTTATTTTTGTGTATGACTTCCTTGGAATAGAAAGGTCAAAAATATGACAAGTGTAACAGCTACAATTATACCATAGTAGCATAATGTCAAATACACGAGTTCATGTAAAATTTACCTTGAAATTAATGTACTTTTCCATTCTTGGTTTACTACTAGATTTTTATCTATATACATTTTCATTTGTACTGTACAATTTAAGTGATTATTTTTGACTGAATTATATGTATTGCATGTCTGCATATTTATGTCTCAGGTTTATGTGCTTTATTATTCAGGGACTTAGGCAAAAACGCTACAAATGTGATCTAGACGGGGCTAACAGCCGCCGTGCGCTCCTCTCTGCAGGTGTCTCGAGACAGCGGTGCCGATAAAACGAAAGAGGCTGCTGAGCAGGCGCAGCCGGGGAGGAGCAGTGACGTGTCTCTCCTGTCCCAGGGCCAGCTGGCAGAGCGCAGCGCGACCTCCTCGGAGGATGACACAGAAGTAACCGAGGAGCTGGAACCGGAAGGTGGCTTTCTTTTTTAAATTGACATTATTTACTTAGCTCTTAGCTTGCTTTGATAGTCTGCCTCGTAGAACATCTTCATTTAATAACAGAGCGACTTCACGATACCTGCTTCTGAGCAGAAACGATGGGTGTGGTTCAGTCTGGTCAGCTCTCATCAGGTGGAGGCGTGGCGTGTCCTCTCACTTCCACCGGGGGCGCCACAACGGGGTGCGAGTGTCACTGCAGACCGGGTTCCCGGTTTGCACGTTAAGTGGCTTTAGATCCTCTCTGGGCTCAGTGCTGTCATCTGGACTATTCCGGAGGACTTCAGTTTGCAAAAATTAAAACCAAGAACTCAGCCCAAAAATAACAACTTACCACATGCTTTCACTTATATAAATGTGTAGAGAAGGGAAACTAATCTTTGGCAACAGAAAGCATTTAAGTTGCTGCCTGGGGGAGGGCAACGGGAAGGGAGGTGAGAAGGGGAGAGGTTACAGGCAGGCAGGAGGACCTGTCAGGGGACGATGGGTATGTTCCTCGTCTTGATCGTTACGATGCTTTCATGGAAGTATGTATGTCAGGATATCAAACTTGGCATTTTAAATGTGTGTGGTTTATTGGATGTCAATTTTACCACAGTAAAGCTGTAAAACTTTTAGTAATGTTTCTAAATAGTGAGAATAGCTTGACTCCTATACAATATGATTGATTGTTGGAAAACTTCTATTGCTCTGTCCTCTTTTAAAATTATTTTTTAAGGTCATAGTGGAACAAGCTACATTTTTTTCCTGTGTTTCTACTAAAGCTAAACTTGGAATTTCTCAGTCATTTTTCTCTCTTTTCTTTTTTTTTTATTTTTAGAAAGGGAAGGGAGGGAGAAAGAGAGAGAGAGAGAAACATCAATGTGTGGTTGCTGGGGGCCGTGGCCTGCAACCCAGGCATGTGCCCTGACTGGGAATCGAACCTGCGATGCTTTGGTTCACAGCCCGCACTCAATCCACTGAGCTACACCAGCCAGGCTCTCTTTTCTATAAAGTAATGTAAATATAAATATATTTGCTGCTAAAAGAAGTTTTAGATACGATTATCATATTGTTCCTTTAAGGCTATCCTTATAATGTGTGTTTATGTCTCACCATTTTACAAGGTGTAAATGTCACTGGTTTAACTGATTTAAACTATGAAAATTGTACTTTTTAACAGACGAAGAAAGCCAGTCAGCTTCCGACAGTGACGAGTGCGTCATTCCGGGCCCCGTCTCCAAGCAAGCCAGGCAGGTCAGTGACGCGACGCCAGTCAGGAACGTCCTGAAATAAAGTTTCTTTGCATTCGCAGTGCACCGGTCTTCGTGGGTGAACGTCTTAAGGCAAAAATACTCCTGGAAGTCATTCAATACCTTATCATACTCTCTTTCAAGTAATCGTCTAGTGTAAGGACATTTTCTTTCCAGTTCCATCATGCAAGGGGCTAGGACAGCTACGCAGCATTCTTGCCTCCAGGTGGAGAGCACCTAACATTCAGTGCCTTCAGGAGGGACTTGGCTGAAAACAGTTGACTCCCCTAACTCCTTCTCAGAACCACTGGACGAGGATGTATTTTTTTAAATTTTATAAATGTGTATTTTTTTAAAGATTTTATTTATCTATTTTTAGAGAGGGAAGGGAGAGAGGAAGAGATAGAGAAACATCAATGGTGTGGTTGCTGGGGGTTATGGCCTGCAACCCAGGCATGTGTCCTGACTGGGAATCGAACCTGCGATGCTTTGGTTCGCAGCCCGCACTCAATCCACTGAGCTACGCCAGCCAGGGCTTGAGGATGTATTAATCAAATCTGAACTTTAAAGAGTTCCAAATGTGAGATGGCCGCTCAAACTCCAGTCACGTGTAAGTGTGAATTCACAGACTCTCCGTATATAAATGTGTCTGCTGATAAACTGTTAAAGGTAGTTGCTCTGCTCACAACACTTCTTCGTTCCTTAGCATCTGCCGTGTCAAACCAGAGCAACCAGGCCCTGGCTGGTGTGGCTCAGTGGATTGAGCGCGGGCTGTGAACCAAAGTGTCGCAGGTTCAATTCCTAGTCAGGGCATATGCCTGGGTTGCAGGCCATGACCCCCCAGCAACCACACATTGATGTTTCTCTCTCTCTCTCTCTCTCTCTCTTACTCCCTCCCTTCCTTCTCTAAAAACTATATAAATAAATCTTTAAGACCCCCCAGCAACCACACATTGATGTTTCTCTCTCTCTCTCTCTCTCTTACTCCCTCCCTTCCTTCTCTAAAAACTATATAAATAAATCTTTAAAAAAACAACTATGAACATGCATTTGCCCCCTTTAAAAAAAAAAAAAGAGCAGCCCTCAAAGAACTCACAGGCTGTAGAGGAAACACAGTCTCAGCGTGCGGTGGTCAGCACTGGAGCGCAGGGTGCAGGGTGCTGTGGGCACACTCGGGGGGCTCCCACCTCCGCTCAAGGGTCTCTGTAGAGGCGGTGAAGCTGGAACCGAGTGTGGAAGATGATCGGGAGGGGTCAGTGAAAGCCGAGGAGGGTCATCGGAGGCTGAAGGGACAAGAGCACGAGGAATAGAGAGAATGTGGAGAACGGCGTGTTCTGGGACTTCGGTGCAGCCATTGGATGAGTGGGGCCTACGGCGCGCACCCCCGGGAGCCCCAGGGGAATACTCGGAAAAGCCAGCCATGTCCAAGGCACGGGGGCCTCTCCATCGCGGTGGCTGAAGTCTCTCCTGAGATTCCAGGGGCAGCCAGCGAGGACTTTCAAGGGAGGGGGAAGAACACTCATTCCTTAGGTATTTAACGAGCATCTCCTGTGTCCCAAGCCTTATTCTCAAGACTGGGAATATCGCAGTGAATAAGAGAGGTCAGTCTCCTGCTCCTGTGGAGTTCACGCTCTGGAGTGGCATTTTAAAAGACGATGCTTTCAGGGCTGCAGAGACGAGATCAGAGGCACAGAGACCGGTGGGCAAGTTCCCGGGTAGCCCTGCCCTGCGGTGGCCCCCACCATGCAGATTTCGTGCATCGCTTCTACCCCAATAATATCACGAAATTGAGACTGAAGGTAGTGTTCTAGATGAATATCATCCATGCTAATTAAACTGTGAATTTGAATTATCTACTACACTGTGTGAGCAATTTAAGATCATCCAGGGGTTTTGTTTTAATGGTGCACAATCTGACAGCTCACAGTTATTTCTTAGAAATGTGGATCCTTAAAGGGAATCTAACAGATTTCCCAGGACTTAGACATATCACTTGGCTTTTCCTCCCTTCTTCCTGTCTGTGATGTATAATTAATCATAGATTACTTCATTTTGTTTCATTTCATTTACAACATTTATGAGCTTCACTTTGTCAGGATAAAATGCTTGTCCCCTCCTTCCCTTTCCAAGGTGGCGTAATTTGTGTTAGCGTCTATTTTAACAGGCTGCATGAAGTTTAGTGGCTGGATTAAACCAGGCCATTAACATAATGTGCTACCCAGCGTGCCCCCGTCTCCCTCGCCTCCAGGACATCAAAGTGCCGCCGAGTGTGCCCGCGCGTGTGATGGGGCCTTGGCGGCCTGTCAGCGCCCGTCAGCCTGACGGCCGCGGCTGCCGCCGCAAGGCTCCTAGGCATGGCCGTTAACCTGGGTGGGGAGGTTCTGAGAGGTGGCAACTTCGGACATTTCCCAGTGAATATTTTATTCATGTGACTAATCAGGAGTTAACACTATCAATGTGATGCATAATACATTGACTAAAAGCCTTGTTTGAGGTCCTCAAAATAGACATCAAAACTGAAAATTGGCGTCTGTCCTGGCATTAAAACAACGTAACAATCCTTTCACGCTATTTCTATTTCTGTCAGTTAGGCAGTGAGTGCAGCTTTCGGTTGTCACAGCTAAGTGCATTGCCAACGCCTCGCAGGTCTCCCGAGGTGTGGCCACGGGTGAGCCCGGGAAACCGCGGCTGAGAGGCCACGGGGCTGCTCTGTACACTGTGTGTTTCCGCAGCGCGCTCTTCCGTTTCTGCTAACAGCAGTTTCGTAAAAGCCGCCATATCCTGCTGGACTAAACTGCAATCCCACCTGGACAGCAGGTTCCCTTGAACAGTGTGAGGGGGCATTTGCAGGTGATTGCAACAGTGATGTTCAGCAAAATATGTTTTAAAGCTTTCAGAGGCAAAATGCATTATAGTCACACTACTTTGAGAATGCATGTATTAGAAAATTACTCAATCCCAAGATGGAGGCGTAGGTGGATACACTGTGCCTCCTTGTACAACCAAAAGCACAACAACAAATTTAAAAACAAAAACAACCAGAACTGACAGAAAATAGAACTGTATGGAAGTCCGACAACCAAGGAGTTAAAGAAGACATTCACCAAGACCGGTAGGAGGGGCGGAGACGGGTAGCGGGCGGAGAGAGCTCACGGCAAGGCGGTGGCTGGAGGAGCGAGTGGCCCCACACTCAAGTGCAGATGAAGCAGGAGGAACAACTGGGGATCGAAACAGACCTGCAACCCCGGGCCCCAGCGCCGGAAACAAGGCCTCAAACCTCTGACTGCAAACACCTGTGGGGGTTGTGGCAGCAGCTGGAGAAACTCCCAGCCTCACCGGAGAGCTCGTTGGAGAAACCCGCAGGGTCCTAGAACGTACGCAGGCCCACCCACCTGGGATCAGCACCAGAAGGGCCCACTTTGCTTGTGGGGAGCAGGAGAAGTGACTGAAATCGGCAGAGTATGGAGCAAGCCTCACTGATCCCTCTTGGACCCTCCCCCACATAATCACGACAATGCAGTCACGTGGGTTGCCCTGTGCAGGTGAACACCTAAGGCTCCGCCCCTCATACGTAACAGGTGCGTCAAGACAAAAAAAAATGGTCTAAATGAAAGAAGAGATCAAAACTCCAGAAAGACTACAACTAAGCAATGAAGAGATAGCCAACCTATCAGATGCACAGTCCAAAACACTGGTGATCAGGATGCTCACAGAACTGGTTGAGTATCGTTGCAAAATAGAAGAAGAAGTGAAGGCTATGGTAAGTGAAATAAAGGGAAACAACACTGAAGGGAAGGAAACCAGGACTCAAGTGAACTAAAGACCAGAAGGAAGAAATAAACATTGAACCAGAACAGAAGGAAGAAACAAGAATTCAAAAGAATGAGGAGAGGCTTAGGAACCTCTGGAACAACTTTAAACATTCCAACATCTGAATCATAGGGGTGCCAGAAGGAGAAGAGGAAGAGCAAGAAATTGAAAACTTATTTGAAAAATAATGAAGGAGAACTTCCCCAAACTGGCAAAGGAAACAGACTTCCAGGAAGTCCAGGAAGCTCAGAGAGTCCCAAAGGAGTTGGACCCAAGGAGGAACACACCAAGGCACATCATAATTACACGACCCAAGATTAAAGAGAAGGAGAGAGTTACCTACAAAGGAGTGCTCATAAGACTGTCAGCTGATTTCTCAAAAGAAACCTTGTGAACAAGAAGGGTCTGGAAAGAAGTATTCAAAGTCATGAAAGTTAAGGACCTACATTCAAGATTACTCTGTGCAACAAAACTATCATTTAGAATGGAAGAACAGATAAAGTGCTTCCCAAATAAGGTCAAGTTAAAGGAATTCATCATCACCAAGCCCTTATTGTATGAAATGTTAAAGGGACTTATCTAAGAAAAAGAAGATAAAAAATATGAACAATAAAATGTCAACAAACGCACAATGATCAGCCGAACCTAAAAAAAAAATAAATAAACTAAGCAAACAGAACAGAAACAGAATCACAGAAATGGAGATCACATGGAGGGTTATCAGTGGGTAGAGGGGAGAATGGGGAAAGAGGTACAGGGAATAAGTAGCATAAATGACAGATAGAAAATAGACAGGAGGAGGTTAAGGATAATATAGAAAATATACAAGCCCAAGAACTTAGATGTACAACCCATGGACGTAAACTAATGGGGGGGAGTGTGGGTGGGAGAGGGGGTTGCAAGGCAGAGGGAATAAAGGGGGGGAAATAGGACAACTGTAATAACATAATCAATAAAATATATTTTAAAAATTACTAAATCTCTTCAGAATCAAATATGATATCCTATCAGTGGGTAAAATAAGTCCCTTCCAATGTCTTATATAGCTTAAGCTAGATAGAGTAGGTTTCAAAATACATTTTAAGTAAAACCAGAAATGTCCAATTACTTTCCTGATAGAAATTGCTTTTTAAACTATTTTTTGTTTTACTAATATACCATGGACTTCTCTCCATAGCAGCACACTCTATTTTT